AGAGAGGTCCCTAGTAAAAGGAAGTGATAGCATCCAGCAGCTGGTGCTGGAAGTGGCAACATATGTCTGGGTGTGAGGACCCAGGGCTTGAGAAAATGGAGGGGGTGGGTATTACCCATCCTTAGTAGAGGGGAAGGCAGACTAAAAGAGAATGGGGAGAAGGGAAAAAAAGAAGAAAATATAAAAAGGGGGGTTGGAAGAGAGGGGAAAAGTGGGGAAGGGAAGAAGGAGAGAAAAAGAGGGGGAGCAAGGAGGAGACAAGAGGAAAGGAAGAAAGAAAAGAGCAAACTCAGGTAGGAGGAAAGATGCCTGCGAGTGAAATGACATCCCCTAGTGACCTGGAATACCCAGGCTAGTTGAGGGCAGAATGGGGAGAGCATAAGACCACCATGGGCTCCACACTTTGAGAAATTTGGAGTGGGAGTCTTGGAGTATACTTGTCATCTTCCTCCATAAGGGTGGTCAGGATGTTCTTCACCTCTGTGAACCCAACAGAGGGCATCTTTCAAGCCCTGGCAGTGATGCATTTTGCCTCTATGAAGAGGTATGTGGCCAGTTTCTGCTGGTAGGAGAAGAGGCCAGGGAGTGGGCAGTGGAGAAGTGCATTCTGGGCATCCTTTCGGAAGGGTGTATGGAATAGGGCTGAAAAGAGGCCATAGACCCATGACCAGAAGCCCACTAGGCAGAGGCAGGACCACCAGATATGGATCTCATCTCCACATTGGCCACAGCCCCTAAAACATCTATCACTAAATGATAGATTTGAGTGAGCTAAGCGGGCTAGGAACTAGTATCATCAGAGGAGGACTTTGTAGGCCGCCTTCATGGTGATCGTGTTGAAAGAACATTTGGCTACAGCGGACCAGGCCTCTGAATCTATGGAGGCTGTGATGTGCAATTCAATCATTTCAGTTACATAAAATAATCAATTTAATGATCTTATAGATATGCGTGTGGCAGTCTTAGGAGCTGAACTACTCTGGGTTCAAGCAGGGTTCAGATGGTGAACCCAAACCCCATTGAAATAAATAGGATCTGAACGTGTCAAATTAAAAATACCCATTTTCTGGGCTAATAGGCAAGGGGGTGTCAAAAACATAGCATGGCGGGTGGGCACTGCCCTGGGTGACATGCAAAAAAAATTTTTTTAATCCATTTGTCCCAGGAGCAATTTTTTAAATGCTTTAATTGAAACATTAAAAATGTATAAGCATAAAGCATAAAAGAAATTGCCAGCACATTACTTTGATCGCTGCATTTGGGGACCTTTGAAGGGGTTTGTGGGGTTTTTTTTTTTAAGAAGTTGGCAATGAATAGTCATTTGCTGGCAAAACAGTATTTTTTTTCTTTGTGACAGAATGAAAAAAGAATTTCATAGCACCCTCCGCCCCAAAAAAATAAATACCAGACCATTTGAGCCAGGTATGAATTTTAGAGTGGTGCCTCAAGCAAACAAAAAATGTATGAGGTCCCCCTAAAAATCCAAAACAGACCCCCTAATCTGAGCATGCAGCCTGGCTCGCTACAAAAGGGTGGGGGGAAGCAAGTATGCGGCTCTTCTCTCCTGAACAGGGGTGGACTGGCAACTCATGGGGCCCCTGTGTCCTCACCCACACTCAAACCAGACCCAAAAAAGTCTATGAAAGGTACCAGGGCAAGGGCGGACTGACAACTCATGGGGCCCTCGGGCAATAGGGGATCATGGGGCCCCTGTGTCCTTGCCCAAACTCAAAAAAGCCTATGAAAAAGGCACCAGGGGCATCTCATGGGGTCCCCCTACTGACCCCGGGCCCTCGGGCAGTGCCAGAGTTTCCAAATGGTCAGTCCACCCCTGCTCCTGAACCATACCAGGCCACATGCCCTCAACATGTGAAATGCATGTTGATGAGGAAAAAGGCCTCTTCCCCACAATCCTGGCCTGGTAGTTGTGAGGGTCTGTGGGAAAGGGGGCTTATCAGAATCTGTAAGCCATTTTAATAATAAGGGGGGCCTAAGATAATGCTCCATCCTGCATGAATGAGTACCCCTACTCAGTCACAAAAATGAATTTGGAACTTTCGAAATAAAGACACCCAAAAGTCCTTTATTATAAAAATAATAATCCCTCCAAAAAGTCATTATGAATTATGAATCCATTGTCAATTGCAATGCCCACCGCCCGCTGACTTGGCATAAAAAAGCCCCCAATGACCCAGAGCACATGACTAATCCTGACAGTAACAGTAGTCTTCCCTGAGCCTTTATCAACTGTATAAGTTTAGAGGCGGAGATAGTTGGGACATCATAGACAGTCACGTGATCGGTACCCCTGTGTCAGGCAGTGGCTGTTGCAGTGAAGAGGAGAGAGTGCCAACAATGAATGGGCCATAGTAAGCCTATAGGTGACATCACCATTCAGGCATTGCCAGCCATTGTCAAGCCCTCTTTTCTCTTCCCTATAGATGGGCTGGCTGACACAAGGGAGAACATGTGACTGTACCGGAGAGACCTGAGAATACAGTAGGTAAGTATATACAATTTTTTCTATATAGGCGAGTTAGTATAGGTGTTAGGAGGGGAAGGGGGCATTTTAAGCATAGTTAGTAAAAGCCCGAAATTCTACTTCAACTGCTAAGTTTCTGGGAGCACCTAAAGTACCACAAAACACTGTTTTTACTCAAATTAACCTGTTTATTGACTCTTTGCATATTAAAAATTGATTTGAATTTTGTAACAAAAAAAATGCTGGAATTTCTGTTAAAACCTAATAAAACACTATTGCAAATAAAAAGGTCTTTTAAAGTGGAGTTCCAGCTGAAAAAAAAATAAAAGTCAGCAGCTACAAAAACTGTAGCTGCTGACTTTTAAAATACAGGCTGTCCCTCGGTCCAGCGGTGTTCTCACAACTGCTGGTTTCTCCAGCTGTCTTCTCTCCCTGGCGCCAGCATCTTTAGTGTGGGCACCCGATAGTGACAGCTTGCGGCTTCACAGCCAGGTGCCCACTGCACATGCACGAGAAGCGTCTCACTTGTCCAAGAAGACTATGGGGAGGGAGGGGGGAGGACAACTTCTGCTTCCGAATGCCTAGGCCAGGCATGTCAAGCTGGCGGCCCTCCAGCTATAACGAAACTACAAGTCCCATCATGTCTCTACCTTTGGGAGTCATGCTTCTAACTGTCAATCTTTCAATGCCTCATGGGACTTTGGCAACAGTTGGAGGGCCGCCAGTTTGACACCTGTGGCCTAGGTGATCGCAGTGGAATTGGGAGCGGGTACCTGTCAATTTTGAGTACCCCCTCCCACCCCGCTCCCCAAAGGTGCCAATCTTTAATAGGGAGCGGGGGACAAAGCATTAAAGTGGAACTTCCCCTTTTGGGTGGAGCTCTGCTTTAAGTTTAAAAATTTAAGATGGATGACAGATTCACTTTAAAGTATAATGACTTTTCTATTGTATTCCATCTCCTTCTTGCATTTCACTCTTATACACAGAATTATTCACTAGCACAATGCATTTTGTTTCATCTTTCTGCCCTAATAAGACCTCTTGCCATCAGTGAATTGATTTGAATGTTATATTTGTTCAGATCTTTCCCAAATGCCTCTGACAGTCATTTCTGTGCAGTTGGGTAGACATAAATTAGCACTTGTAATGAATGGTGTCATTCACACAGACCACATACTTTGTTAGTTATCTTTATTAGCTGAAATAATGGTAATATAGTCTGCAAACCTGCGAAGACGTGTCTGTAAATGTCTATTGACAGAATCATTTATGAAATATGTCATTTAATGCAATGCCATTATATTTCTGTATCTGAATGCTCATTCCAGTCCAGTACGCACTCTGTTGTTCCCATTCCACATGTGAATAATGAACTGTTTTCATAATGTAAGGAAGAGGTTGATGGGTCACATCACATTGAAGAAACTGGAAATATGTCACAATTTATTATACTAATATGAATGCCTTCACATTCAGACTTTCCAAAAGTTCATATATTATCTACAGCACCACAGCATTACTTACTATAAAATAGATACAGTAGACACACATGTAGACTTGTCATATTATGCAAAATTATTGCTTTCGCAAAAGAAATCATATTTGATGTGTGTTTGTTTTTGGGTGTCTAAGTATGTCTTGGATCAATCATTCTGCCAGTCGTACATACTGGTAGCTTCTCCTCACCTCTAATCCAGCTGGCAGCTTAGTAAGATGGTCTCAGTCCTAAAGTATGGTGGGAGGTTACAATTACTGGAACCGGTCCCCTGTATGGCTCTCTGCAGCAGCCGGAAGTTGGCTTCTTCTTCTCTACCTCCCACTGGCTTTCAGCTGCTGCAGAGAGCTATACAGGAGATTGGTTCCAGTAATTCTCCCCCCCACCACACCCATCACCCTCCCTGTGCACCATACGTTTCCCCCTGCTGCCCAGGCACCCTGTGTGCCCTCACCTCCGCAGTGATGCTAGCTTTGCTCCTATTCTTTCAGCAGCTGCAAGCACACAATAAGATCTTTCAGCATGGAGAGTGGGGGGAAGGGTCTGGTAAATACGTCACATTTACCAGCTCCTTCCTTTCACAAATGAACACAATGAAGCTCAGCTGTTAGGACTCATTCACACTTGGCTGTTTTACCAACGCTTGCCAAATGCCCCTATAGCATTTGGCACACGTTGGTCCGGCGGCGTTTGCCGAGCGTTTTTTAACGCTCGGCAAACGCCGTATGCGCGGTTAAGCGGCGGTTGCTGAGCGTTAATAACGCCCCACAAATGCCTATAATAACGCCCTGCAAACGCCCCGCAACCGCGTCGCAACTGCACCGGCCGGCGTTTGCGGAGCGGCACCATAGACGAGAATAGGAGGCTTCAACGCCTCCTGACTCGACCAGAGGCGTCCCGTTAGAACAGAACCATGTGCTGTAATGTGCAGAATTGGCAGAGGCGTTTGGGAAGCAGTAAAAACGTTTCCCAAACGCCTCTCTGCCACCTACACACAACGCTAGTGTGAACGTAGCCTTACAGTTCACCTTCACCAGAACAGGAATGAGCTCTTTCTCTGATTCAAACCCTTCATTCTCTCCCCTGATGCAGAATGTCTGAGCTCAGCCTTTGAGAGCTCATTCCTGAAAAGGTAACAGCTAGGCATCTTTTAGCAACATCCTAAAAGTTTTCCAGTCAGGCTTCATGAGTGCATAAATGGCCTACACCTTTAGCAAGGACATTATTAAATTTTGGTCAAAGCTGCACAACTTGGTTTTATCTACAGACATCCCTTATTTGCATAGACAGGTGAACTAACCCTTTTAAGATTAGTTAAATTGTAATATGTTTGCTTGGCTTTTCATGTATCTTGAGAGAGCTGAGAGGGTGTTTGTTATTCACTGTCCAGTGAGCAGGCTAAAGGTAGGAAATAGGTGTAGGAATTAGTAGTAAATAATGGTGTCACCCTCTTGGCTAAGCAGTGTGGTCAAGGTGCATTTATCCAAAGAGTGGCTAAAAAAATGTACAAATATTTTTGCAGGTAAATAAATTCACTTATATATAGGTATCAACTGTGTATTTAAATGCTTGGCTAGGGCTTCACTTTAAGGGAATGTAAAGTTTTTAATATATTTGATCATTTTGATCAGGACTAAAAAAATACAGTTTATAAAATATTTTTGAATAGTAGACATTCCTATATTAAGCCAGTAGGTGAAGCTTTGGGCTCTTTTTCAAGGTTTTTCGTTTCATCTAAGAACACAGTGATTACTGCTAGTGGCTATAACTGACAGCAGTAATCACATGCAATAAATCCAACAGGCTGGTTGTAACCAAGTCGGTCATTGGATCGACTTTAATACAACCAACCTGTTCATAGATTGATCAAATCTTATCCCGTCCCTGCTGAACTGGACAAGGTTCAGTCCATCTATGGCCAGCTTATATGGCTCTCTCTGAACTCTGAGGTTTCAATTTTGGACATTATGACTAAAAGGAGACAGCTATTGCAATGCTCTATTTTAGGAAACCCATTTTACTTTGGGAATCCTTTGTTATGTATTAAATATTTGATTTTGTAAAAGAAGAAAGATTGTGTATCTAAACTAGACCCTGTTCCAAATTATTATGCAAATGATATTTTTCTCATTTACCTAAATAATTTATGTAAATAACAGTCAGCATAATTCTCATGTTATCAACTATTAAGAGTACAATTCAAATTTTATTGCACAAACCTCCTAATGATAACAGTATGTTTTTTAAACATAAAACACTTCCAATGCACTGTTCCAAATTATTACGCACAGTAAGTTTCAAAACACTTTATAGGTTGTAAAGAACTGAAAATTGTCATTTGTTGTGTTTACAGCATATTTACTGAAATCAAAAGCTATTTCAATCAAACTTTTAACAACATTTTAACTTTTTAAACATTTTAACAGGTCACGTTACATTGTAACATAGGACCCCTTATTTGATAGCAGCTTCACAAGTCTTGCATCCATTGAACTTGTGAGTTTTTGGACAGTTTCTGCTTGAATTTGTTTGCAAGATGTCAGAATAGCCTCCCAGAGCTGCTGTTTGGATGTGAACTGCCTCCCACCGTCATAGAGCTTTTGCTTGAGGATGCTCCAAAGGTTCTCAATAGGATTGAGGTCAGTGGAGGATGGAGGCCACACCATGACTTTCTCTCCTTTTATCCCCATAGCAGCCATTGATGCAGAGGTATTCTTTGCAGCATGAGATGGTGCATTGTCATGCATGAAGATGATTTTATTACGGAAAGCATAGTTCTTCCTTCTGTACCAGGGAAGAAAGTGGTCAGTCATAAACTCCACATGCTTTGCAGAGGTCATCTTTACACCTTCGGGGACCCTAAAGGAGCCGACCAGCTCTGTTCCCATGATTCCGGCCCAAAACATGACTCCACCACCGCCTTGCTGACGTTGCAGCCTTGTTGGAACAGGGTGGCCGTCCACCAACCAACCACTACTCCATCCATCTGGACCATCCAGGGTTGCACGGCACTCATCAGTGAACAGGACTGTTTGAAAATTAGTCTTCATGTATTTTTCTGCCCAATGCAGCCGTTTCTGCTTGTGAGCATTGGTTATTGGTGGCCGAATAGAAGGTTTATGCACAGTTGTAAGACTCTGGAGGACTCTACACCTTGATGTCCGTGGGACTCCAGAGGCACCAGCAACTTCAAATATCTGTTTGCTGCTATGTAATGGTATTTTAGCAGCTGCTCTCTTGTTCCGATGCATGGATCTGGCAGAAATCTTCCTCAGTGTGCCTTTATCTGCACGAACCCGTCTGTGCTTTGAATCAGCCACAAATCTCTTAATAGTGCGATGATCACTATTTTACTCTTTTCAGCAGCAGAGAGATCCTTTTTCTTCCCCATATTGCTTGAAAATGGTACTCTGCTTAATAATGTGGAACACCCTCCTTTAGTAGTTTTTCCTTAAATTGGGCTCACCGGCCAATCTAATTATCACAGGTGTCCAAGATTGTTTTCAGTGATCAAAAGAGCCCTGACACACAATGCCATCCATGAGTTACACTGAAAAACAAAATATTTAATCTTTGTAACACTTAAATAGAATTTGAATAATAATTTGGAACAGGGTGTATATGTATACACTGTGTGTGTGTATATATATATATACATACATACATATATTGCCAGAAGTATTGGGATGCCTGCCTTTACACGCATGTGAACTTTAATGGCATCCCAGTCTTAGTCCGTAGGGTTCAATACTGAGTTGGCCCACCCTTTGCAGCTATAACAGCTTCATCTGTTCTGGGAAGGCTCCACAAGGTTTAAGAGTGTGTCTATGGAATTTATTTGATCTTCCCAGTGAATGGCTGTGCACGGGAGGGGGGGGGGTCACCACAAGTCATTGGAAGACAGGCAGGCTGTTCCCTCAGCACAGCCAGAAAACTGACCACACTGAGATGGATGTGTTCTCATGCGATGTCATGCAACACTGTACTTAAATTCACTTTTTATAATTTTTTTTGAGACAGATAGAGCTTTCTTTTGGTAGTATTTAATCACCACTGTTTTTTTTTTTTTTGCTAAATAAATGAAAAAAGACCAAACATTTTGAAAAAAAAATTGTTTCTGTTATAATATTTTGCAAACAAGTGATTTTTCTTTTTCACTGATATGCATTGATGAGTTGGCACTGATGAGGCGGCACTGATGGGCGCACTGATGTGGAGGCACTGATGAGGTGGCACTGATGGGCACCAATGGATACTGATAAGCTGCACTGATGGAGCTGCACTGATCATCAGGGCACTAGTGTAAATTCTGTACTCACTGTGCCCTTCACAGATCGCTCTCCTTTCCTCACACGCTGTCTCTGTGTGAGGATAGGAGAGACAATAACCGGAAAAAGGAATTGAATCTGTTTACAAAGTGACAGCTGTGAATAGATACAACTGATCTCATGGTAAAGGAGCACTGTGATTGGCCCTTTACCCCGATTTGTTATCCACTGTGTCCAAGGCACACAACGGTCACAGAGTGCTCCCAATGCGTGCCCTGAGATGTCCTTCCAGAATTGGAGAGCCACGCTGTAGATGTTTATCGGCTATAGCACAGTGTTAAAGCTGTTAAAATAGGAAAGCAGGGTGACAGGCCGGAACACTAGGTTTTTCACACAAAGGAAGCTATACAAGTACATGGTACAAGAAACACATATTAGGAATTTGAAATGTTGGGATAACATTTGCTTTAAGTGCTTTGTGCCATGGCAGCCAATTTATTTTGAATGGGCTGCAAGTGCATAAAAAAAATCTTACATGGAGCATTTTTTCCAATACAGTGCACCACAATGCATGGTAGTAAGTTATTGTGCATTAAAGTGTTACTAAACCCACAACAGTAAAATCAGTCTGTATATGCAGTAAAGCATGCTTGTTCTACTCACTGTGCAACCTCAGAGGTTAATCCTCTGCATTGTGTAAAAAGGCTGTTTGATCTTTTCTTTTCTGATCCTCCTCTTGTTCAAATGCCCACGCTGATAAGGCAGTCTGAACTGTGCCCTTCTGCACATGCTCAGTTTAGTGTATATTGCTAGACAGGTCTTTTTTTTCTTGGGAGAGAATGTGATCAGCACAGGGCCAATCAGCACTGTGCAGACAGAGGTCAGGGGATTTCCATCCTCCTAGAGAAAACTCCTCCTACAAGCTTTAACTAGGGCTCAGCTGAAGTCAGAAGACTGCTCTAACTGCTGAGGAGAAAAGGTATTTAGCAGTTTATAGTTACGAAAATAATTGCATTTCCATGTTGTGTGTACTGTGAGAGCGGAAATAAAACCTCCTGCGCTCAGAGACCCAGATCAGAATTCAGTGGGTTGAACCATATATGAAAGTTCATCCTGTGGCAGATCAAAGGTTTTGCAGCTCTAACACAAGGCTGGGGAAGCCCAACAACAGCTGTAACAAAGAACAAAAAAACAAAAACAAAAGCACACTAACCTTGCGCATTACCTCAGTGAGTAAAGGGTGAATTTATTAAATTGAGATATATACTCACAAAAGTAGCAATATTAAAAGCATATAGCAGACACGTGCGGGTCCCATCTAGAGGGGAGGCTCTCAGGATGAAGCTGACGTGTTTTCGAAGGGTGATCCCTTCTTCCTCAGAGTTCAGGTGTGTACTGTGGGAGACCAGATATAGTGGATGCAGGGTCCTGGGTTTAGTAAAATTTTAAGGTTACCTTAGTGTCTTGGGTTGCCAATCAAAATGAATTTTACCACAGCATGCATTAGTGCAAATTACTACAATACAATGCGAGTGTTTACAATGCACTACAATTCATGTACACATACTTTTAATGTTATAGCTAATTGGGGTTCACAGTGCAGTGTGATTTGGAAAATATGACCTGTCTGATTTTTTTTTTCTGCTGTATGGCCTTGCGACATCTGTAGAAGTCTATGACAAAACATGAAAATGCAAAATTTGTGAATTTTAATGAATTGCCAGCTCTATCTAGCTGACTGCTGACTGGTAAATGCTCTATATAAAAACACACTTAAAATACTTAGATTTTATTTTTTTCTGTGAAAAAAAACAAATAAGAGGCAATTATTTTGGCCCAAGAACAAGTCCAGGATAGTTGAAAGCATCTTCTGTAACCCTCAGGAACCATTT